GAAAAGACTGTTAGTTCCTCCACTTACAAAGCTTCTAGCAGCAGCCATATTATGCTCAATATCGTCGATCTTTTCACCTTGTGCCTCAACAAGAACAGCCATATCAAGAAACACTTGATGAAGCTTGTCCAAACTTCTCTGAATGTTCATTACTGCCTCGTATCTTTCTTGGTTCTCAAGATTCAGTTCTGTCCTTTCTTCAAATATTTCCGCTTTCACATTTCCTCCTGAAATCATCTTCTCAATCACTTCTTCTGTTGGCGCCTGACCTGTTGCATTATAGTACCTTCTTTGGAGACACTCTTTGAAATCCAACATGATTCTCTCCCTCAAAACCTGAAAAATAAATGAGGCAAAAACACTCATCTTCAGTAACTTGCCCAATCTGCCTAAGTTTAAACAGGTTGGTCATGACTCCTTTATTTACTTGATCCAAAGCGAAATGACTCGTCAAACTATAGGGTCAAAACGAGTGTAACCCGCGGGTCAAAATGCAACTCAAATCCAAACATATAAAATCAAATTTGGAGATAGAAAATTATGTAACTTTGGAAGAACTTAAGCTAATAATCTAACAAAAATACATCAGTTTTCTTTTTTTTCCTCCAAAAATGCAAACTAAAAAAGGGAAGATTCTGTCATGTTGGGAATGGGTTATGTACCGTTATTAGCCTATCTTAACGCAACTCATTCGACTCAAACAAAGTTTTGACAAGTTGGGTCATGACCCGTTTAGTATTTTGACCGGTCCTAATTTGACCCAGAGCACTCATTTTCCACTTTTACCTGAAAATCATTCATGATTTGCCTAAGCTTGAATCTCAATCCATTAGTCATGGCGATTCTTGTTCGATCAACCGCAGTTCCTTCAGCATACGCCACTGATAATTTGCGACTCGCCACATTTAATTTTTCAAGTGCTTCAAGTTTTGCCTTTACAATCTTGGCTTTCCTCAAAACAGCAACCATATCTGAGTCCATTCTATCTCTTAGCCCGCGAAGAACTTTGGAACTATGAGTGGTCTTTGTTTCTTCATTCAGATTTTGAAGATCAATTAAGAGATTAGTAATCTCTTCAATGTCATCCTTTATTGCCTGCACTTGAAGAAAAAATTGGGAGAGATTGTTTTCATCTGTGGGACTGAGTTGTAATTGGCCTTTCTCCAAATCCTTCTCTGCTTCAACATCCAAGTTGACCCGTTTCTTCAATTCCGTATAATTTAAGAACGATTTTGTCATGAGATCGTTCATTTTCACTGCACTTTCTGAAAAAGTGAAGAACCATCTACATTCAGTCCATAATAATGGAAGGCTAACTGAAGAATTTTAGTTACGTAAACAGTTAAAGAAGTGCAAATATAGTTTGCAACATCACTAAAATTTATCATAGAATGACAGGCAGTGCTAATTTGTACACAATCAATGCATATTTAAACTCGTAACAGAATTTCCATGAACACCAGAAAATGGAAATATGGACGTAAAATGAAAAATTTAATGCACCAAACATTTCTTGAAGATGGCAGATTATTGTCACATTATAATTCACCAGTAACAATGAAGAATTAAGGAAACCAATAATTGGTGTCTTGAAAATTAAAGAAACCTGCAAATGGCAGTGAAGAAACTGAGCAAAGTGGGGAATAATCCAATGGCAGAGTGATTCTTGTCTCCTTCAAGATGATGAGGAAAATGGCCGTCCTTTTTGTTTCTCAAACGAGGGAATTGAAGGATTAGGAGGGTCAAATTGGATTTTTAAATATTTGAAAGTTTGATATAAGAAAGCAGCTGTAACTCTAGTTTCCGCATGAGTCGGTTGCGGTTAAGTGAATCAAGAACCGTTCGGGGAAAAAAGCATAGAGAGAGTAAACAATAGGATTTCGCTTTTTTTTTCTTCCTTTGATCAAGGATTCAGCTTATTTATAAGGAAAAAAAACATTAGATCAAAGTTGCTATGGATTATCGCCGCCCTTAAATTGAAGTATTATGCATGAAACATTTATTAAAACAACAATTATAAGTGTCTAAATCTCAAGCAAGTGAAGATCAACTATATGAATGCTCAGTCTTTCCTTTAAACTCATTTCAATCTAATATTGTACAAGTTTAATCTATGTAAAACTCGAAGTTTTATACATGTTTTACCGCACATTTAAATCTTAAGATGACCAAAGAATTTTACTGAACGTAGGACCAAAAGTAAACATTCTAACATGACACGTTTGATGCTTATAATTGGCGTCGATTTTTTCTCCCAATCTCACCAGAGTTGTACAGAGAATTTTGGTAAAGAAGATGACTCAACTCAAAGTCGATATGTCCAAAGACCGACCACTTTATCTTCAAAAGACCAAGGTTAATCTTGTCCGTTCATTTGTTTTCAATAGAGAACACATATGGGCCGTTCATTTGAGTAACAGTTGAAAAAGAATATGGAAAATCTCGAAGCTTCTTTTACCATGTGGAGTGTATAGGTAAAGTGTGTACATATTAATTCTTTTATATTCTTTCTTACATATAGACAAATAGTAGTTGGACACTTGTACCTAGCATAATAGATTTTTATTCCATTTGCTCTGTATAAATAGTTGTACACAAGATGAATAAAATACAAGAAGAAAGTTCTCATTTCACTCTCGTTTCTGATATGGTATCAGAGCCCTAAGGTCTAGGTCCCATCTTCTTGCTCAAGTTTTTCTTGGCCTTCTTCAATGGCTGTGACTGATGATCCTTCTGTTACTCTGCCTACTGGAAGTCCTTCCACAATACAATCCCCTCAAATCACTATCACAAATGATAGCTCTCATCCCTTTTACCTTCATCCTTCAGATTCACCAGGGATGATTCTTGCCAATTCCATCTTTGATGGAAAAGGATATGGAGGATGGCGTAGGGCAGTTCTCATAGCGCTCTCAGTTAAAAATAAGGTTGGTTTCATAGATGCAACAATCACTGAGCCACCTGCAGATTCGGCCTCTTTCAAGGCATGGAATCGATACAATGATATGGTAATATCATGGCTACTTAACTCTCTTTCAAAGCAGATTGCTGAGAGTGTTCTTTATTCTAAGACTGTTAAGGAGATCTGGAAGGAGTTGGAAGATAGATTTGGTCAAAGCAATGGAGCTTTGCTTTATCAGCTGCAGAAAGAACTTAGCGATTTAGTTCAGGGAAGTTCTGATATTGCTGGTTATTACACAAAGTTTAAGAAAATCTGGGATGAATTGGATAGTTTTGATACCTGTACTTACTGTAGCTGTGAATGCTCTTGTGGAAGAAAGAGCAGATTTGTGAGATCTCGGCATGATGGAAGGTTTATTCAGTTTTTGATGGGGCTGAACGATGCTTATTCAGGGAGTGAAAAGCAATATTCTCATGACCACACCCCTTCCTAGCATCAATCATGCTTATTCACTCTTGATCTAAGAAGAGAAACAGAGAGAAATTCAAGTTGCACAACATCCTCTTGACTCTGCTTTCCTGGCCACAAAACAGCAATATCGAGGTCAGAAGTATGCTCAAGTAGATAAGAGAGGAAATTTTGAGGGAAAGAGAGACACAGTCGTTTGTTCTTATTATAAGAAGCCTGGACATTCAGTCGAGAAATGCTACAGAATCATTGGGTTTCCTGCAGATTTTAAATTCACCAAGAACAAAAGGTTTCAAGCGGGTATTCAGGGACATGCAGCAGCTACAGCAGATCCTAATTCTGAACAGACAACCTATAGTTTGGAGAAAGGATTCACTCAAGAGCAGTATCACAATCTATGTCAGCTACTTCAACAAGCTAAGTTTACACCACAAGGAGACATCAGCTCAGAAGTAAATGTGACTGCCACTTGTGCTGGTATACCTAAACACTCTTTCTCAAAAATTGCTAACACTATTATTTGGATCTTAGACTCAGGGGCATCTAAACACATGACATATGATTTTAATCTTTTATTCAATGTTAGAACCTTAATCAAGCCGGTCTTTGTTAATCTTCCTAACTCGCAAAGGGTTAGGGTCACCCAGGCAGGAAATATACAAGTTCTTCCTGATCTCACTCTCATTAATGTTCTTTTTGTTCCTACTTTTAAGTATAATCTTCTATCAGTTCACAAACTTTGTCAGCATGTTAACTGTCTACTCATTTTTCACTCTACTGGTACAATTTTACAGGACCCTTCAATGAAGAGGCCAGTAGTTCTTGGTAAGGAAAAACAAGGGATTTATCTACTCCACCCCATCAAGCCTAGTAGCAATTTGGTTGATTCCCAGTGGTGATCTCGTCTTGCTTGCTGGGAGAGAGGAAGCTTCCGGGCCATCTTTTCCAGCCAGATAGCGAGCAATCACTCAGCAAGAAGGACTACTGTCCAGTTTTTTTAGCTTCCAAGAAGGACTACTGTCCAGTTTCTTCTAAGTGTATTAGGGATAGTCCTAAGTCTTTAGTTTCAGTTTCATGTTGTTTTGCACCTTCAAATGATGTAAGCCTATGGCATTTGAGGCTAGGGAATTTGCCTTATTCTAATATGAGAAATATTTCTTCTATTTCTTCTTCTAATTCAGCTAGTTTGATTAATCATTGTGAGATATTTGCCAAAGCTAGACAAGTAAAGTTACCCTTCGAACCTAGTACCATATCAACTAAGGAAATTTTTGAATTAATTCACATTGACACTTGAAGACCCTATAAAGAACCTGCTCATGATGGTTTTAGGCATTTTCTCACAATTGTTGATGATTTTAGTATGGAAACTTGGACTTACCTTCTTAGTACTAAGTCTAATGCTTTTACCCTTTTGAAACAATTTCTTGCCATGGTAGAAAGACAATTTGGGAAGAAGGTCAAGATCATAAGATCAGATAATGCCTGGGAACTTGGGAGTGGACTAGAAAGTTCAGCTTTTCTTTCTTCTCAAGGGATAATACATCAAACTACTTGTGTTTACACTCCACATCAAAATAGAATAGTTGAAAGAAAACACAAGCATCTTTTGGAAACATGCAGAGCATTTTTGTTCCAGTCTAACCTCCCTATTTCTTTCTGGGGAGAATGTTTATTAACTGCTACTCATCTCATCAATAGGTTCCCTTCTAAGGTTCTTAATCTAAAATCTCCTTATGAAATCTTGTTTGGTATACCACCCTCCTATCACTCACTCAGACCTTTTGGTTGCATGGTCTATGCCTGCACACTAACTCCTCACAGATCAAAGCTTGATCCAAGATCTGTTCCTTGTGTATTTGTAGGGTATCCTGTAGGAAAGAAAGGATACAAAGTCCTAAACATGCAAACTATGAAGGTTTTTGTCTCTAGGGATGTCAAGTTCCATGAAGCAGTCTTTCCATCCACTCCTGTTAAAGGAAATCAGACTATTTTTCCTTCTTCACCAACACAACCTACTGATTGTTTCTCTATGGAGTTTTCATCACAATCTGATACCCAGACTGTTCCCTCTTCAGTTCCTATTACTTCTTCTCCCATGCTTCACTCAACTTCTCCCTCTAATTCTTCCTCTTCTTCTCCTATCCTCCATTCACCCTCTATTAGTCCTATTCCTTTTCCCCACTCTCCCATTCCATCCCCAGCACCTGAACTTAGGAGGTCCAGCAGCCACACATTACCCCAGCATATCTTTCCGATTATGTTTGCAACTCAGTATTTTTAACAAACCTTACTGCTTCCTGTTTTTCCACTTCTATACAGCCCACTATATTGCCCTTTTCTACTTTGTCTCAAACAAATCAATCTCACCTTAAAAATATTTCATATACCTCAGAACCTACTTCCTACTCCCAAGCAGTTCTACACCCATGATGGCAAGAGGCTATGGCCAAAGAATTTGAGGCCTTGGATGCAAATAAGACATGGGAAGTTGTTCTTTTACCTCCCGGAAAGAAAGCATTACCATGTAAATGGGTATATAAAGTGAAATATAGGTCTGATGGTTCTTTGGAGAGATACAAAGCACGTTTGGTGATTAGGGGATATATTCAAAGGGAAGGGGTAGATTTCAACGAGACTTTTTCCCCAGTTGTCAAAATGACAACCATCAGATGTCTTCTTGCCATTGTAGTTAAGAAGAAGTGGGAAGTATTTCAATTGGATGTAATAATGCCTTCTTGCATGGGGATTTGCAAGAAGAAGTCTTTATGAAATTCCCAGCAGAGATGCAGTCTCCTTCACCCAACCACGTTTGCCTCTTAAAGAAGTCTCTCTATGGTCTGCGGCAAGCCTCAAGGCAGTGGTATGCCAGGCTCACGGCAGCTTTGAACTTTAAAGGTTATTCTCATTCACTCAACGACTACTCTTTATTTTTTAAGAAATCAGACGGGAAAGTTACTATTATTGCAGTCTATGTCGATGACATTCTAATAATAGGGGATGATCTATTAGAGCAACACTATTTGAAAGAACTTCTTGATTGTGAATTCAAGATTAAAGATCTCGGGCAAGCACACTATCTTTTAGGCATGGAAATCATTCGTGAAGAAAAAGGTTTCATTTGACTCAAAAGAGGTTTACCTCAGAACTCTTGAATGAATTTGGGGTCCTTAACCTCAAGCCTACTACATCGCCCCTTGATCCCGCTCAAAGACTCAGCCTTTACACTGGAGATTTGATTCCAGACCCGACTTTCTATCGCCTCCTTCTAGGGAAATTGAATTTCCTCACTCACACGCGGCCTTATTTGTCCTTCGCCATGTAACATTTGAGTCAATTTATGCAGTCTCCACGCTAAACTCGCTTGGACGCAACTTTTCATTGTCTGCGTTATCTCCTCTCAGATCCTGCAATGGGTCTTTTGCTCAACCCTAGTCCCTCACTTCATCTTCTTGCTTTCTGTGACTCCGACTGGGGACGATGTCCTGATTCTCGTCATTCTATTAGTGGTTTCTACATTAGCTTTGGGGGTTCTCCGGTGTCCTGGAAGTCAAAGAAACAACCTTTAGTTTCTTTGTCCTCTGCTGAAGCAGAGTATAGATCTATGAAACGAGTGGTCGTAGAGATTACCTGGTTAGTTCGATTACTCAAAGATCTGTCTATTTCACCTTCTCTGCCGGTTTCGCTACATTCCAATAGCCAAGTAGCGATTCATATCGCCAAAAATCCAGTATTCCACGAACGTACAAAGCACGTGGAGCTGGATTGTCATTTTGTTCAGCAACAATTTCAAGCAGGGATCATTTCTTTGACTTTTGTCCCTTCGCATCAACAGATTGCCGATGTCTTCACCAAACCCTTGTCCGGTCCGCTTCACCACTCTATCATCGGCAAGTTGGGTGTAACTTCGTCCCCCTCCAACTTGAGGGGGGGGGGTGGTATTGGCGTCGAATTTTCCTCCCAATCTCACCAGAGTTGTACAGAGAATTTTGGTAAATAAGATAACTCAACTCAAAGTCGACATGTCCAAAGACCGACCACTTTATCTTCAAAAGACCAAGGTTAATCCTGTTCGTTCATTTGTTTTGAATAGAGAACACATCTGGGCCGTTCATTTGGGTAACAGATGAAAAAGAATATAGAAAATCTGAAAGCTTCTTTTAGAGAAATTTTCACACTACTATCTTTTAGTGGTAATTAGTTATCTATAGATACTATTTGCTATATTACGGATTGTAGAAATGTTTTCTGTTGTTTAAGATGTATTAGATGTATTTAAGCTATTGTATTCATGAATACAGTAGTAAAAATAGGCGTGAATCAGGAAAGTCCAGCTAATCAGTTATTGTATTCAACTGTATTCGACTGTATTCATGGCATGAAACATGGGATTACAACTGGACAGATTATTGTATTCGACTGTATTCACGGCGTGAAACAAGGAATTGTCACACCTCCTTTTTTCGCACCCGCCCCGAAGGGTTAAATGCGCGAGGGGAGTTTTTCCAATTTAAGTGACAATATTTGAAAT